ACTTTCTGGAGCTGCTATTAGTTGGAGAAGCCAAAAACAACCAACGGTATCTATTTCCTCAACTGAAGCGGAGATTATAGCAGCAAGTGAATCAACACAAGAGATTTTATGGTTAAAGAGTCTGCTCAATAGTCTGATTACAACTGAAAAAACGTTGTTGTATCTAGATAATGAATCAGCTGTGAAACTTGCACATAACCCAAAATACGAATATCACAAGCGCACTAAACACATTAAACTAAAACATTTCTTTGTAAGAGAATGTGTTAGCAATGGAGATTTCGATGTGAAGCAAGTTTCATCAGAAGAACAGCTAGCCAATATGTTAACGAAACCCTTGTTCGGTCCCAGGCTAGAAAAGCTAAGTTCCAAAATAGGATTAAAGAATTTAACTTTAAATTCTTAAAACTTCCGAGGATGTGAAGAAGTATACATACTTCTTAGCGAGCTGTTACTTAGCAACAAACATTATAAATACTATCATTATTCTATGTATAAAAATTATCTCAATAAAAAATAGTGTCTTTTAAGCTTTTTAATATATTTCTTATAAATAACAAAACATTCCACTGCGCTCAATCCTGATTTACTTAACAGGAAGGTGAAAAACCTGAAAAATTAGTTCCTTCATGAATTCAATGGAGTAAATCGACAAACGCGCGTAGCCTGCTGCGTTACATTAATCAACCGGCATAATAATAAAGGGATTTTAAATCAAATCACTTCCTGTGATGGAAAGTGGATCTTATACGATAATCGGAAACGCTCATTGCAATGGCTAAACCCTGGCGAACCAACCAAATCCTGCCCCAAGCGAAAATTGGCTCAAAAAATGTTACTTGTGAACGTTTGGTGGACTATTTCCGGTGTTGAACACTTCAGCTTTCTTAAATCTGGCCAGACGATTACGGCAAATGTGTATTGTCAGCAATTGAGAAACCATGATGGAAAAGCTAGCTGCTAAACAACCGAGGCTGGTCAATCGCCAAGAACGCTTGACCACATACTGCACAACAGACAGTTACCAAATTAGAAGAGCTTCAATTGGAAAAATTACCATTTTTTTCGAAATTTGGATAACTTCTTGCAAGGGAAAAAATTAAACTCCGATGGGGCAGTCCAAAGTGCAAAAACAAAAGGCAAAAGTGCATAAATAGAAATGGTACATACTTTGATTAAATAAATATATTATATTTTGAAAATAAATACTTCAGGTTATTCCCTTAAAAAACGCCAATTTAAATTTTTAGGACCTAATTATTCAGATTTATGTTTATAATGACAGCACCATTTTTGGCTGCTTATTTAGAAAAAAAAAAAACGTAAACAAAAATAGTTTCTACAAAATAAAAAAATAACATGAAAGAAAACAATAACGTTAATATCTTAAATTATTGCGCCGCCACGCAAGAAAACAAAGGGCAATTTAATTTCTATATAGGTACATGATTTCTCGAGTTCTCGACTTTTCTCGAGCTTGATTTCCCGGGAACAAAACCCATGAATTTCCCGGGAATTCTCGGTTCGAGAATTCCCGGGAATGAACCCTAATACCAACCCTTTGGCCACAACTCTCTTGGACTCCAAGGATTACGATGCAGGCTGAAAAGGTAACGTCTGGCTCCAATTTAACACAACTGATGTATATAAAAGGAGTTCCTAAGAATATCCTTCAATTCTTGTCGTCAGGGACAAGATATCGTGTCAAAGTGGTTAATGTCTTTGTCCTATAATGACACAGAGCTGATTCTAACTAATCTGTAGTCGATGATTCTATACAAAAGCACACGCCCACAAACTTCCCTCTGTATACGCGCACACACACACACACACACACACACACACACACACACACACACATACACACACACACACACACACACACACACACACACACACACACACACACACACACACAAAACACGCACAAACGCACGCTCATATACCTACCCAGCCTACACGCAAACTTTACCTTTATTTTAGTTATTATTATTCTTTGTAAAGTACCGATATAATATTGGTTAATTTTGTACCTCGTTGAACTGGAGCCTGTTTTAAGTTAATGTTTTTGTAATTAAGGATTTCTGATTCCTGCAACACAAGCCCTGAGCTTAGTGCAGGGATTGCTGTTAATTGTCTTGTCTACAACCATTGATGTAATGTGTACAAATAAATAAATAAATAAATTGAAGGAGGGTCTAGGTAGCGAACTCTGAAAAGGGCGAGCACAATAGATCTATGTAGGTCGCAGTGCTACAGGTCCACGCACCTGACAATGGCAGCCCTAACAACCAAATGAAAAAAAAATATAAAAGGAGCGACCACATGACTGGATGAGGTAACTCAAAGCAACAGATAACGAAAGGTATAAAATCTAATAAAAGGTAATTGGCTGATTGCCGATAGATAACGAAAATGGAAAAAAATAAATATCTTTCATTCCAAATTTTATGTATATGACAAATTTGATGATATTTCATTCATTCATAATTTAAGAGCTGTGCTCTTGTCGGTGGAGCTCCCGCCACCTTCCACGATCTTCCATCAGTCCTTTTAGCTGTTGATACGACACGACTCCAACTTTTTCTTTGACTTGCTTGATATAGCTGTGTCTTGGTATTCCCCTTCCTCTCTTTCCATCTATTTTTCCTTCAATAATGTTGTTAATTAGTTCGTCGTGTCGTATCAAGTGCCCCAACATTTTTCCCCGCCTATTCTCAATAATATCTATGATCTGTCTCTTTTCTTTAATCCTCTCAAGCACTTCTTCATTCCTGATGATATTTAGTGATGCTATTAAGCTGTGAATTAAATAAATAACTCGATGGAATGGGATTGTTAGTAATGTGGACAAATAACACTATTACTAGAAATGTACCATGTCAGGTTGATGTCCACGCGGTTCCCTCTGAAAACCATCGTGATAAATTCCTGGTGAGTTTGCCACGATGGGATAGCTAAAGACATGCCCTGATCTCATGCTCATCTTATCATCCTCGACTGGTGCTCCGCCAGCGTAAACCGTCAGTGCAGGTAGGTGTACCATTCCATTAATGTCTGTTAAAAAAAACTCGTTCTCCCAAGTTGCTTTTCAATCATATTGACAGTCATCTTGTATTTAATTACCTACCAGAATCATCAAGTTACGCATTAGGAACAAATAGATTTAGCGCTAAAAATACCTGTGAATCATAGATGATATGTGCCGTGTATTTCAAAATACATTCGTAATGGACGTCTCAGTTTCCTTATTACCAGCGGCGTGTTATGTATTTATTGAAGCCGTTATAAAAATAAATAATTTCATTTCATTTTATTGATGTGTAACACATTTGACGGCCTCGATGGTTAGCCCGATGATGTCGGGTTCGATTCCTCGCCCGGCACATTTGTATTCATGAGTATGATTGTTTGTATCGGTATACCATGTTGATAATTACAAAAAAAAATGTATTTGTGTCAGTTATCTAGTACCTATAACATAAGCTTTAGCTAGCTTAACATGAGTCTAGATGGCGTTATGTGAATTGTCCTGAGATTATTATTATTCTAACGGGTGCTGCTTGTAGAGACTGGTCTGCTCTTATAACTATGTCCGATTTATTTTGTTACTCAAATAACTCTTGATTTCTTTATAGCAACTTTGCTATTTGATAGTTTGTATTAATACAAAATGCTTAAGAATGTAATACTAACCTACTAATACTAATAATAATTCTAACAAACCACAATGGAACCCGAAAGGAAGATATTTGTAATATCTTCCTTTCGGGTTCCATTGTGGTCCATAAAAAAAACCTTATTGCGTCTTACAAATATCTCATTAAGTTTTTAATTTTCAAGTAATTTTGTTTATCACGCGTATAAAGACGCAGACGTCGTGTAAATGATAACAATTTTATATTTGCGTGATACCCTTTGCCATTTTGTTCCAATAATACGGGGATTCGTATATTTAGATGTAGATACACTCGTCTATTTATGTAATGTTTGTACTGTGGAATGATTTAAACAGCAATAAACATTAAGCGGAAAATTACTATTAATATATTACATAGTAACAAATAAAACAGATCTTGTTTTAACGCGCCTAGCTCTGGAACTGCCAGATGGATTTGAGAAAATCATTTCATTTCATTCATGTAGGACATCTTAGCCGCTTATGAACGTAAAAATTTTTACATTATAATTTTAATGTTTTCCTTACCGTCCAGTTCAGTATATAGATCCAATTGAGAAGAACAGGCAAGAAACTCAATTTAATTTTTTTTTTTAAAGCTAGTTTATTTACAATATATACTTATATAGGTGTCTATGTCTAACATTTTATATTTCATAGACTAATTTTTAAGAAAGATATTTATAGACATCTATAACATCACGCTACGTCCTTTAGGAGCCGACCAAAAAGAATGAAGCGCAAAGATTCAAATGAAAAAGGAAGTCAGTTCTTTTTATATATATATATATATTTACTAAAACTTTATAAATAGGGGTTGATGATAGAAGGATGAAAATTTAGGATTGTATGTATTTTTGTATGTTGTATCATAAAAAAATAGAAACTAAAAATTTAGTCTAAATAATAAAAAAAAAATTTAGGAGTGGACTACCCCTAACATTTAGGGGGATGAAAAATAGATGTTGGCCGATTCTCAGACCTACTCAATACGCTCACATAATTTCATGAGAATCGCTCAAGCCGTTTCGGAGGAGTATGGGAACGAAAACTGTGACACGAGAATTTTATATATAAGTATAAGATATAAAAATAAGTTTCCACACAAAATATTTGTAGTCTCACACATGTTAATTGTAGTGGAATTAAATAAAATAATATAAATCCATTAAGTAGTGTAATGGACTTCCACAAAATAACACCCAATTCAATTAAATATATAAAAATAAGTATTGTATAGTTTTTGCGACTAAAGCTGTATAGAGGTTATTCTGTAGATTTTATATGCAAATAAAAATAAAAGTAATGTGTTTGTTCGCAGGTGACGATATGGATTCTAGTTATATATTTGACGCTACATTTGCCGTCCATAGAAATGAGGGTAGACGACTTAGAGCAGCCAGTACACAGACAGGTAAATAATTTTATTACTATACTAGCGATCATTGTAGTAGCTGTGACGCTCAGAAATAAGCTCAAAGTCACTCAGAGGGCAATGGAGAGGGTGCTCGGAGTTTCTCTGTGTGATCGTATCAGAAAAGAGATCTGCAGAAGAACCAAAGTGACGTAAGTGAGTGAATTGCGAAATTGAAGTGGCAATCGGTATGCCACATAGCTCGTAGGACAAGATGGCCGTTGGAGCAGTATAGTTCTTGAGTGGCCACTGCTGACCGGAAGACGCAGCGTGGGAAGGCCTCCGATAAGGTGGACCGACGAACTAGTCAAGATCTAGAAAGTGTAGGATGCGAGCAGCGCAGTATCGACCGTCGTGGAGACTTTTGGTGGAGGCCTTTGTTCAACAGTAGACGTCTTCGGGGCTGAAATGATGATGATAATTATGATTAGTTATCATTGCTTAAGTTAACACATATACAAACAAACAAAATATATAATAAAAATAATAAAATTTCTGAATGGTTACGTTTAACGATGTTGTTTCTAAATCTTCTTTACCTATGTTTTGTAAAGAAGATTTAGAACCATACGTATACAACTACATGTATTATTTATCTGTACATAGTATAAATTGAAGTCACTTTGATCTTTTAAACTACGCAACGGATTGTAATGCAGTTTTTAGCTAAAGATAGTGTGATTCAAAAGGAAGGTTTATATATATTCGACGATCTCGGTGGTCTAGCGGTCTAGCACACTGCTTTACGACCGATGGTCGCGGATTCGATTCCTCGTACAGCACAAACATTTGTATTCATGGGTATGATTGTTTGTAACGGCCTGGGTGTTTTCTATGTATAATATGTATGTATTTACAAAAAAATATATATCTATGTATATGTATCAGTTATCTAGTGCCCATAACGCAAGCTTTAGGTAGCTTAATTTAGGTCTAGATGGCGCTGTGTGAATTGTCCTGAGATTATTATTATTATTATTATATGTTATACATGTACACCCGTGCAAAGCCGTATGTAGGTATTTACATAAAAAAATATCTACGTATTTATATCAGTTGTCTAGTAACATCAGCTTTGTTTAGGCTATGACTAGATGGCGGTGTGTGTGATAAATTTCAATTTAAATTAAAAGGGACCGAAACCAGTACAGCATCAGCCACCAGCTTCAACGCAGAAGCCGAAGACAGTGAGCCAGGCTCACTTGAAGAGAGGGAAGTGCTTCCACATGTCCCGCTCCCAGTGCCCACCAGAACGCGGCACGTGCGCCAGGGTCGGAGACGCGTCTGTCTTCTGCTGCGACCTGGACAGCATCAGCCTGAAAGATGCCTTAGCAAACACAAGTTAGTATCTTTTTTTCTTGGAATTAATAATAATAATAATAATAATCTGATCTGTGCAAAGCTGATCTTTAATATCGGTCTGCGCACCGCACTTTGCTCAATAATTTTTTTCAAACTTATAAATTAAAAAATCATTTCTTCATGTAGGACATTTTAGCCGCTTATGAACGTAATTTTTTTTATATTATAATTTTTTCCCTACCGTCCAGTTCAGTATATAGGATCCAATTGAGAAGAACTGGCAAGAAACTCAACTTATATTATTTTCTTAATAAGTCATTTTATTTACAATGTGTATTTATATAGGTGTCTATGTCTAACGTTAAATGAAAATCCCGTGCATGAACAATTTTTTTTTTTTTTTTTTTTTTTTTTTTTTTTTTTTTTTTTTTTTTTTTTCTTCGACTAGCAACACCAACGACAGTTGTCATTTTCAGCTGGCCGTAATAAATAAATAATTTTTAATAGTCTATCACACGAATATTATATTTTCAACATCGTTATTAGTCATATAATAGTGCAATAAGTGTCGATTATTGTTTGTGTACAATTTGGTAGTATATTATTTGCAAAAATCGACATCAAAATAGTGTACCGGCCATCTGTCAAACTTCTTTCGTTGGTAAACAACTAATTTTAAAACTGTTTTTTATTACTATTTGTTGGACTTATTCAAAGAATTTCATAATATATACAAGTTTTATAGAAATATTCACATAAAGTTAAATTGATATTAATAATTGTGAAGTTCAGTTGTTGCGTACGTCGAAGGAAAAAATATACCCACAAAATATATTGTAAGTAATTTTATGTTTTATATTAATATAATTTGAAGGAAAGGAGCACAATCTAATTCCATTTACTTAATCTTGTAAAATATAGGTTGTATAAATATATCTAACAGAAATTATTCAAAATTTTAACACATAAAATAAGTAAGGTTCAGTTGCTGTTCTCGTTGTGATACTTTGTTTCTTTTAGAAATAACTCACTTCACTCTCCCTAGTAACTATTCATATATTCAATAATGTCACTATCTACCCGTTCCACAACTGCACGGCAGACAGAGATGAAGCTTAAAGTGGCCCTACAAGAACTTCAGGCATCCAAAGATCTCAGTGACAAGTTGATCAGGGAGAGAGAAGAGAGTGAAGATGAAATTTTAAAAATTATAAATAAAAATACCCAATTAAAATCAGAATTGTCAGAACTTCATAATAGTCATCAGGAAATTATTGAGCAGCGGGATCAGCTTCAAGAACTAATAAGTAGCTTTCATCAATGTAGTGACACTCATGAGCAAGCCTTGAGGCGTATCACTGAATTGGAACTTGAGTTAAAGCAGGCATATTCTAAAATCAATGATCTAGACACAAGATTGGAATCTCAACAAAATAATGAGATTAGTAATTTATATGAGGAACTTATTAGTGTTGACTGTGTGCCTCCTTCTACTACAGTTCCATGCACCCATCCTGTTGTAATTGACCTTACTAGTGATACATCACCTAAATTAGGCAACTATAACAGTAACATTTGTATGTTGAGTAATAATAAATTAAAAAAATATTTAAAACTAAAAAAGTTTATAATTAAGAATCGGAATATATTAAATAAGCGTTGCAAAAAGGGACAGTTATTGAAAAAAAAACACTTTAAATAATTTAAAATTGCATGATTACATTAATATATGTAATAATAAGTTAGTGGAAAGCCAAAAGTTATATGACATTGATACAGACTACCTAACTTCAAAAATCAATAGTTTAGAATCTTCGCTTCATGATTTAAATACAAAGTATATTATCTCTCAGAAACAAATCCAGGAGCATATTTTAGCAATGGATGATCTGATTGATGTCAGTAAATACAATGCTGACCGTTTTGAGTTGTTGACTAAGCATTGTACATGTAATCACACAAATATATCAAATAATAATTCAGTTGTAACTGTGCTGGAAAATGAAGTTCAGGGTGTTTGTGCCAGTGACTGTAACCCTAAGAGTAGCACAATGGTGTTCTCTGACAGAATAGGCTGTAACTTTGGGTCTATTTTGAAGTATCATCTTAAGGGTGATTTATTAAACTACTGTATGCCAGAAGCATCATTTACACAAATAATAAATAAAATGAAGTCTACGAAAATGAACAATATGACCACAATTGTGTTATTTTTTGGTAATAGTATTCAATTAAATAGGCAGGATGTAATTAAAGGAATTGAATATTTATTACAATTAAATGTGTATAAGATTGTATTGTGCGCTTTTCCTTACACAAAAGGACATCTTCATAAAAAAATTAACAGTAAGGTACATTACCTGAACAACTTATTACATACATTGACATGTCGTCATAGTGACATTTTTACATTTTTTGATACTAATAGTTTTATTAGTGATTTTTATTTGACAAAAGATACAATGTATCTCTCTAAATTATCTAAAAATAAAATAGCCACTTTAGTGGCTTATAATATTGATTACATGAACAGTTTACATGGTAAACTTAAACATAAAAATACTGACATAACAAATAATTCTATTAATATTTGTGACATAAATACTATGACTGCAGATTTAAACTGCTCACAAAGACAAAGGGAAAGCAATCAGAATTAATAATTGTTCATCAGAACATACAAAGTTTTCCCGGCAGCGAGTTAATTATACAATTATTTTTAGAAAAGTATAATATTGATATTGTCTGTTTCACAGAACATTGGCTTAAAGAGAGCAATATGATGTTCAATTTAAATAATTATAACGTTGTCAGCTGCTTCAATAGAAAGTCAGTTAACAGAGGCGGGTCTATGATAATTGCAAGAAATAATATTAAAGTAAAGGAACGTGCTGACATTGTTAGACTCTCTATTGAGTGTTGTATAGAATTATCTTGTATAGAACTAGAAAATTATATCCTTATATGTGTGTACAGGCCTCCTAATAGTGATTACAATGTATTTGAAGGGGTGATGGAGGATATATTAAAAAAAATATTTAATAGTATTAAAAAAATTATTGTATGTGGAGATTTTAACGTTGATATTCTTTGTAACACACCCACATGTACAAAAATTATTAGTTTATTTCAATCATTTGATTTAAATCATGTCTTTCATGAACCCACTCGTGTAACTGCCACGTCTGCTACTTGTCTTGACAATGTTTTTTGTAACTGTGAGTATACAGAAAAATTCATAATAAATAAACTTCCTTCAGATCACTGTGGTCAAGTTGTTAAGTTTAACAGTCAGATCAATAAAGTCAACAATAATAAAAAATCAAAAAGACAAATAAATGTTTACAATATTAACAAATACAAAAGCGCGATTAAAAATAAATTGGATTTGCTGTTACAATCTAGTAATAATCCTGATTATCTTTACACCAAGCTAATTACTATTTTATCAGGAGAATATGAACAATTTTTCAAGAAAAAAGAAGTTTATGTTAAATCTAAATTCACGGAATGGGCAACAGTAGGTATACTTAAAAGTAGAAATATTTTGTTTGATTTATACGATCAAAAAAAATATCGATTTGATGACAAATTCACCACTTATGTGAAAAATTATTCAAAAATTTTTAAAAAAGTTTGTATTACGGCTAAATCTAATTATATTAATAAACAAATTAACCAGTCTTCTGACAAAATTAAAACCATCTGGGGCATTATAAATAAAGAAACCGGAAGATCTAAATTAGCCTATAATCAATTTGCATTAAATTATGATAATAAATTAATAACAGCAACAAAAGATGTAGTTAATGTTTTTGAAGATTTTTTTGCTAACATTCCGATTAACATTACATCTTCTCTGGACTCATCTCCATCTCGAGCAAAAATATTACTAGAGTCTAATATCGGTTGTTGTGCTTTAAGATTTAAATTTTCACATGTTAGCCCCGTTCATATCATAAAAATATTCAAACATCTAAATCTAAAAAATACAGAAGACCTTTGGGGCATGTCTGTAAAAGTAGTTAGTTCTTTCATAGATATTGTTGCTCCATATCTAGCTACTATTTTTAATAAATGTATTGATAATGGCACTTTTCCACAATTAATGAAATTTAGCAAATTAATCCCACTATTTAAATCAGGTGATAAATTTGAGCCAGGGAACTATAGACCTATATCTATTTTGCCAGTTCTAAGTAAGGTGTTTGAAAAGATAATGTTAAATCAAATGTTACAACACTTCAGGGATAACCGACTGCTTCACAGTCAACAATATGGTTTCACCGCCGGCAAGTCTACCACTGACGCAGGTGTAGCGCTGATAACACATATTTTCCAATCATGGGAGAAGTCACAGGATGCACTCGGAGTTTTTTGTGACCTATCAAAGGCATTTGATTGCGTGGATCATAAAACACTTTTGTACAAGCTCGAACATTATGGTATAAAAGATAATGATCTAAAATTAATGAGAACTTATTTAGAGGATAGGGTCCAAACTGTAGATATTGACGGTATAAAATCTAAGGGAGCTAATATTGGGATGGGCGTTCCACAAGGGTCAATCTTAGGCCCCTTTCTCTTTTTAATTTACATAAATGACCTTCCCTTTATGGTAGAGAAAATTGCAGATATAGTGCTGTTTGCGGATGATACTTCGTTAGTGTTTAAAATTGGACGTCAAACTAATCAATTAGACGATGTAAATTGTGCTATGTCTGCTATATTAAATTGGTTTACATGTAATAACCTATTATTAAATTCCAGCAAAACAAAGTGTATAAAATTTACACTTCATAATGTAAGATCAATAAATACACAGTTATTGCTTAATGATGAAATAGTAAATTTTGTTAATGATACAGTTCTTTTAGGTATAACAGTGGACTCGAAATTACAATGGGGGCCCCATATTTCAAAATTGGCCAATAGACTCAGTTCAGCTGCATATGCAATTAGAAGAATTAGGCAATTAACAGACGTGGCGACGGCTAAACTTGTATACTTTAGTTATTTCCATAGCATTATGTCATATG